AGAACAGGGTTTAGAATGATTCCCACTTAAACCCATACCAGGTGGCTGCTGAGGTCCAGCCCTCCCTTCCTAGGACATGTTGACCATAATCCTGGGTATGCTTGGGGAAATCTAAGGATTAAAGAAAGACCCCCAGAGGGGTCAGGGGACAGAATGGGTTAAGGGACTGAGGTTAATCGAGTCTGGTTTACCGTGAACGACTCCTGCAGTGTCTTTGGCAAAACTTGTTCTCTCTGAGAACTGCAGGGCAACTTTCTAGTTCTCCAAACAATGATTCACAAAACTACATGTTTGAGATGGTGTTTGGAAGACCACGGAGTGGTTCACTCCACGAATTGAATGCTGAGTAAAGCAATTGTCAAACACAAGGACTGTCTGGGTAACTGTTTAAGAAAGGCTTACTAAACCCAGGGGGTCCTGTGCCCCACAGCAGCTACCATCTCATCCTATGGCTCAGGGACAACATGACATGCTACTGCTGTGGTAGGCCACAGAAACCTTTTCCATCAAAAATTAGCGTTGTGCGTTCCTAGTAGCCTGACAGCTTGCTGAGCAGCCAACGGATTTAACCAACCCCAAAAACTGCAGTAACTTCTCCCATGAGCTCAAAGATGCAAAGATTGTAGAGTCAGGATCAAAAGATAGAGGCTGCAGAGATAGCTCAGTGGTTAAGAGCACAGGCTGATAGAACAGTTAGTTTTAAGAATAGCAGCTAGTGGTATGCTGCCAAGTACTCTGCCTCTGAACTGCGCCCCACCTGGGACATTTTCAGGGTACTGATCTATACAGAAGCATGGGGATGGGGGGGGGGCCTCTGGGAACCAGTGCCTCAGTTAGACCAGTTAGACCACCTCCCTCCATGTCCTTGTTTAATGACCTGACTGATCCTGAAGTCTGTTGTATGTGGCCACTGAAATGTCTGCTCTTCTTAGTGATCAGTGCTTAGGCAGATGTCTTCAGTCTGGAACTAGTACGGCTTTGTTGCCATGGAGTTCTGTGTGAAGGTTGGGGATCCTCTTCAACCATCAGTTAAGCAGAGCACCTCTGCCTAGCCTTCACTTCAGGCCCAAAACCTCCAGGTAGGTCAGAGGAAATAAGCTGGAGCATACCATCCCTGCAGACCAAATTGCCCAATTTCACTACATCTCCTTGTTTGCTCAAACTCTTGCTAGCCACCAACTTAAATGCTGACGTCTGAGTGCTTTTGGCAACTGGCCCCAATGAAGACTTGTAGTGTAACATGAGCTCCTAGGCAGGAGAAATAAAAACAACCTGGCAGCGGTGTCCCTGGGAACCAGAGGCCTGCTCAAATAATAGGAAGTGTCACATTTGAGGGATCTGCTTGTTTCCTGTGGTGTTCTAAATGAAACTCAGGACCTAGCATATACAAGCAAGTATATGCTACCATTGAGCTCTGACCCCAGCCCTTAGTCTTTCAAAGCAGGGTCTCCCTACCAAGTTCAGGCTGGCCACAAACTCATGATCCTCTTGCCTCTCTTCTCAGTGTTAGAATTTAAGGTGTATGTCACCATGCCCAGCTCAATGAGTTCTTTGAAGAACTCCAACTGCATTCTGTCTTTTCAGGGGCTTGTAGGTTGTCCGGCCTTTTTGAGACAGGGTCTTAACTCTTACAGCTCAGTCTGGCCTTGAACTTTTGGGCTTGAAACTTTCTAGTGCTAGAATGTCAGGACTGCTGATTTCCACTATAATAGGCCATTAGTTTTCTAGGCTGTGGTGAAACCGGGGGAGTAGAGGATGAGCCAAGCTGAAAGCATTACATCACATCCTTTTTGCTGACAGCACTATAATTCTGACAACACTGACTTCATGCCCCTCATTGCTAACTACACATAGAAGAAAATGAAAGATGGAAAAAGTGCTTATTCTAGGAAATGGCAGTGTGGGCATGAATTAAGATGTAGGCACCATTCTGACTCTTTGGAGATGGAACAATTCTTTTAATATTGTCATTGTGGGGTAGGGACAGGCACATGCCATGGTGTGTGTGCAGAGGTCAGAGGACAACTTTGCGGAGTTTGTTCTACCCCTGTGCTTTTAAGTGGGTTCCAGGGATTGAATTCAGGGCATCAAGCTTACTCAGCAAGCATTTTATCCACTGAGCCATCTCACCAGACTAAGATAGAACAATTCCATTGTTTATCGAACTCATGGTATGTGGACTAGTTCACATGAGGTCTGCCATGCAAGTTCAACAATGCAAGCTGGCCCCTATTGCCTGTTAAGCAACTATCTTGCAGAGTCCACCCAGGATGTCAACAATGCCCCAGTGCTCAGCTTCCAAAAGCTGCTCTGTCCCTCTTCCCAAATGGTAGCAAACTCTCCATGGCTCTTCACTAGGAAACAATCTTGAGTAAGATAGTATTGCCCTCCACAACTGCATTAGTTTCCTCTTAAAATCAAACATTAGAGAAATATACAATGCTAAAGAGTTTTTCATATCCCCGTAGAGGGGACCACTGCTAATGTTGCCAGGTGTGAATTTTGGAGGGTTTTGGGGCTGTTCTTATATATATGATATATGAAAATCTTATATATGATATATGAAAAATGAACTTGTTCTGCGTATTTATTTTGCAACTTACCTGTTGACACTCTATTTACATTCCCCTAGTTGTTTCAGGCCTGGGATGGTCTTTGCCTGTCTTTAGCAAGCACTGGACCAATGAGCTACACCCAGCTCCCCTCCTCAGTAGCCGTGTGGAATGTTCCATTTCCTGTATAGGCACTATTTGTTAGCCAAAGATGTTTGGTAGCATTCCAGGCACAGATCTCATTTTCCAGACTATGGAACTTATGGTTTGGTAGAATTTATAGGTACTGTTTTTCCAGATGTTTTCATCTTGTCATGCTCTTGCTACCGACCACGAACGTATAGTAAATCTGCATTTTTTTTTCCTTTGGCACCTTTCCAATTTACGCCTCCACCCATACTACCTTTAGTCCTCTAAGCTTGGGTTTGGGCAACACTAGCTAGACAGTGTGCACCTTCCAGTGATGACTCTTTACAGATTCCTGAGCCTTTAGAAATCTCTGAGAGTTTTGGAAGAGCCAAAACGTGTCAAGAAACTGATTTAGGCCTGGTTTGGGGGCTATATCCTTAATTCCAGCACTTGGAGCAGAGGCAGGCATATGTCTGTGAGCCCAGCCTGGTCTACAGAGTGAGTTCCTGGACAGCCAGGGCCGCACAGAGAAACCCTATCTGAAAAACCAAACCAGCAACTATCTATTCTTTAGCCTTTTCTCCTCATCTCCTCATTTCTGCTAAGAGCAAAGAGCTCCCAGCAAGATAAATAAAAATGTCAGTTTTACACAGAATTTCTCTTAATCTATGCTTCAAGAAGTTGTGTTGTGCTTGTGTGTGTATGATAGATGCATGTTGCACATGTGTGGGGGGTATGCTAGTCCATACATATATGGAGACCAAGGTTTATGTAGGGTGTCTTCCTCCACTGTGCCTCTCCTTGATTTTTGAACCAGAGCCTCTCCCTGAACCAGCAGCTCATCATTTCATTCAGCTTGTCTGGCTGGCAAAGCAAGATTCCGGGATCTACCTGTCTCTGCTCCCATAACTGGGTCATGGATGCTGGGGACTCACAGTCAGGTCCTCACGCTTGTACAGCAAGCACTTTGTCCACCTTGTCCCCAACCCCTCTTTTTGCGGGTTTGCGTGTAGCCCAGGCTGGCTTTCAACTGAGCCTCCTTCCCCTACCTCCCAACGGCTGGAATGTCCAGCATGTACCACCACATCTGGCCTTTGTTCCAAAACGTTAAATGTTGCCTACTTACGCACTGTTTATTTGATTGTTCATTTGTTTGTATAAAGGGTCTTGTGTAGCCCAGGCTAGCCTCAAACTCACTGTATAGTTGAGGCTTGATCTTGAACTTCTGACCCTCCTGCCTCTCCTCCTGAGTGCTGAGATTGCAGGGCTGTGTGGCCGCATCCAATCTCACACATATTTTTAGACTGTACAGTACTGAATCACTCATGAGAAGGAGGAGAGCTACTGCTGACCACACATATGTCTTGGCCACACATCTCCAAGTGAAGTCCAACAGGAGCCTCCAGAAACAAGCAGTGGACCTCGTCCTCCCTAACTGGCCTGGGTACCATCCAGCATAAATGCCTAACTGGGCCTTCCGGGACAAGCAGCCCTGCTATGCTCTGAAGAGCTGGTCCTGATCTTCCATTGCAAGGAAAACCTAAGAATGCTACAGGGAATGTGCACCCTGCTTTTTGAACCCCGTAGACCCCTACATAGCTGCCCCATTGGATGGGATGGAGCTCAGTGGCAGAGAACAGATCTGTTCACTTGACAGATAGAGAAGGAAAGAAAAGGAAAAGAGAGAAGTGGGGAAGGGCTGACTAACAGTTGACAACTCCCTCGGTAAAGGGCCTGCTGGGCCATCATAAGGACCCGAGCTCCATCCACAGAACCCACATTGAAAATAAAACCTAAAACAGCCATGGTGGCAATGCATGCTTGTCTTCCCGGTGCTGCAGAGGCGGAGACAGGCAGATCCCCGCGGCTTGCTGGGCAGCCAGCCTAGTCCTGGTTAGCTGCAGGTCAGTGAGAGAGACCATGTTTCAACACACACAGGAGGACTGCTTGCTGGATTCACTGGGTGGAAACCACAGGAGGTGGCAAGGATTCACCACGTTGGGTGTTCCTCTGCAGCAGAGGAGAAGCTGACAGTCTGAAGTGTTTCCGTTTAAAAAATAGTCAGCCTGGCCTAGGCAGTCCTGGTGGCATTTGTCTGCAATCCCACACTCAGGAGATCAAGAGTTCAAGGTCAGCCTCAGCTACAAAGCAAAAGGGTCCAGGCCAACCTACTCCACATAAATCCCTACGTCCAAAACAAGCACAACAAAAAGCCACTTTCCCTAGGGTTTCCATGCACACAGGAGTAAAGTCAAGACTGTCCACACTTCACACATTTTATTGACACTCAGGAAGGGCCAGCCATGGCAGGAGGCTGACTCACTGCCCCAGTCTACCCAGGCCTTCTGCAGCGTGGGTAATGGCGTCGGTGACGGTGTGGGTCACCTTCTCAGTGACCTCCTTCACCACTCTGTCCCCTGACTCTTGGGCTCTCTTTAGGGCATCAGCAAGGGCTGTTGGGAAAAGAAAAAGACATTTATGGGGTGAGCAGCCCACTGCACCTCCAGCCGAAGAGGCCTGTGGAATGAGGCCGTCTTACGGGATCAGCCCTGGAACAGCCCCTGAGGACAAAGGGCAAAGCCCGCCTATCATCCCGAATTTCAGTTTGGTTTGATTTTCCTCGACAACCTTCCTTTCTTCAGATTTGAGTGTGACATCCCAGACAGCTCATGCGTGCGCTGGCTACTTACACTTCGTTTCTCTAGAAATTGCTGCCTTGTATTCTTTCACCATTTTTATGTTTTGTGTTTGATTGCTATGTTGGATTACTGTTTCTGTCACGAACATTTTCTCACAGTTTGTGGCCTTCCTTTTGACTTAACTTCGTTTTGCTTTGCTTTTTGTGCGCCACCCCACCCCACCCTTCTCCGGTGTAAAATAGTGACATACTGACAAATTTACCTCATACTGACAAATTTACCTCATGTTTTCTTTTCTTTTCTGTTGGTTGGTTGGTTGGTTGGTTGGTTGGTTGGTTGGTTGGTTGGTTGGTTGGTTGGTTGGTTGGTTGTTTGGTTGGTTTTGTTTTTCTGAAACATGGTTTTCTGGCTGTCCTGGAACTCTCTTTGTAGACCAGGTTTGTCTTGGACTTACAGAGAGCCACCTGCCTCTGCCTCCTGAGTGCTGGGTTTGTTAGGTGCACGCCACCACACCTGCTCCTAATATTTTTTTTTTTTTTTTGTGACTACTGGGTTGTTTTTGTTTTCTTTTTTAATCTCGGTCAAAAATGCCTCCCCTCTCCATGATTATACTAATGTCTCTTATGACACTTCTTTGGTCTGGATTTTTGTGTCCCCAAAATTCCATGCTGTAATCCTCCTCCTGACCATGCCATGAAGAGGTAGGAGCTGTGGCTCTGGTTAGGTCAGGAGGGTGGATGGAGTCTTGAGAGCAGAAGGGTAACACCCAAGAGCGCAAGCTGGTCCTTCAGCCATGTGAGGTCACAGCAGAGAGCTGCCACGTGAGAGCTCAATGGCTGCCACGGGGACTTCCAGACCTCAGCATGGAGAACAACCCATTTCTTTCTTTTATTTTCCTCATTTCCCCCTTCTTTTTAAAATGGGGTCTCACTGTAGAGTTCAGGCTGGTCTAACACGCTGTGTAACCAGGGTAGCCTCAAACTCATATCTTCCTGTCTCATTCTCCCAAGTTCTGGGGTCACAGGCATGCTCCACCACACCTGGCTATAGAAACAATACATTTCTGCTGTTTTTAAACCATTGAATTCACAACATTTCATTTTACTGGTTTGAACTTAAACAGTTATGGTCCAACAGCTTAATATATTCATGTATTTAAATGTTAGTTCTTCATACAGCTGGAGTCTGCTTTGCACAACACATACATAGTAAATTTTTATCTAGATACATATTGAAATATGTAATTGTCTATTTTAAATGTTCTGTCCCTAGGTGCTGCCACATCATTTTTTGTGGCATTGTCTCCTTTATATTCCACAAAGAAAACAGCCTAGACTCTAGGTACAACCTTCACAGATAATTGCATGTTGGGAGAGTGTACAGATAATTGCAGCCCAGCTGTGAGGATGCTACATTTGGGGCAGGGCTAGGTCTGGATGAGCAAGAAAAGGATTGGCCCTAGCAGTTGGGCTTCCTTTCTCCGTCTCTATCATCCTGCCTGCTCACTTCATTCTCTCCCTACTTCCGTTCCCATGCTGGCAATCACACGTTAGGTAAGTGCCACTGAGCTTCCCCCCCCCACCCCCCGCCTTCTCCTTCCTTCCTTCCCTCATCCCCATTCCTATCTCTAAAGAACCTCAGCCTTACCCTTCTCTCCAGCCTCCTTGGCGTGGTCCACCACCTCCTTCACCACCTCTTCCACTGCGTGAACTGAATAGAAAGGACAAATTCAGAGAGAAGGTAGAGGTAGGCCCACTTCCCCTCACAATGGCCTGGATGCCTCTAGACAATAAGGTGAGACTCTGGTATGCTGCCCTGGTCATGACAGACAGCTCAGGAGAACCCCTCGCTTCCTCCCTTCAAGACGCCTGGCTGCTGCACAGGGCTCTCCATGCCTCTCCTCTCAGCCTGGAAGGGCATGGATTCCTAGCTTCTGCCAGCTAGATACCTGAGCCAGCGTAGGTGTGTTTGTCACTTAGCCACATCTGTACAGATCCAGGGAAGCTAAGCTCCACAAAGCAACTCTTCCTGGAAGAGGAATCCCTACCCACTTCTGGGTTCTGGAGGTTTTGGGTGGGAGCATGCTAAAACCCAAAGATTTTAGAGAACTGTTTCTAGCACCACCTTCCTTTGCCATGTCCCTCACAGCTCAGAAGGCTTGAAAAACTAAGAAGGGGCCTGAGCAAGCTGTGAAGTCAAAAATGAAAAAGCGCTGATATGTTTGCAGCCATTTCCAAAGAGAACAGCAAACTTGACACAGGTTTTCATCCATGTCCCTCAGTGGGCCTCATATGAACTGCCACATGCAGCCACAGACCTCAGCTGGCAAGACCATGTCCTAGGTTCTCGGAAGACATAGACATGTCCTTTTAGACTTGAACTGGACCGGGCTCCGTGGTTTCATCATAAAAGAACATTTGAATAAAGTATGGTGAAAATTAAAATCCACCCTCCTTTTTCTCTACATAAACTAACCAAAATCAGCAGGATTTTTGTTTCGTTTGGTTTTATGGTTCTTGCACAAATCCATGTCCTATCACTGAGCTATAGCCTCGGGCCCTAAAATAAGCAATACTGACATGAAAGGTAATCTAGGCTTCCAGACAGAGGGACCCAGGCCACCAGTTTCTCTGCCGACACCTGGGTTCTGCCAGCCTCCGAGAGCCTCCTCCTAACCTCCAAGCAACCTCGGCCTGGGTCATGGAGCAAGACCCTAGGAGGGAGGCTGCTTGGGCAGTGGCTCTAGCCTGAGCAACTACCCCAGCCTCTGTGCCCACAGCTCTGCTATCTCCGCTGGGCCAAGCTTCCTGATGGGCCTCCGCCTCATTCTACCCCAAGGCTCTTGCCTGCCTGTCGGAATTAGCTTTCAACAGTCCCAGGGGACCCCAGCTTCTGGGCAGGTAGAAAACCCAGGCCCTTACCTGCCCCCTCTGTGGCTTTCTCAGTGCGGTGGGCCAGGCCCTCGGCCGCCAGCTTCCCCAAGCCTCCCAGCATCGTGCAGCAGCAGACAGTGATAGGTGGAAGGCCAAGGACTGGATTGGCGGGCTTTTATACAGGCCTAGGACGGCCTGCCAGGCTCCAGGGCACCAAGCCCTCACCCAGCGAGTAGCAGGCTGAACAGATGAGTCAGTTCAGAGCCTGGGTGGAGATACCCTAGCACTGCGCACTACCCTTCTTTCAGTGAGCCACACACCCTTCTCCCTCTCCAAGGAGTTCTGGGTAGTCAGAAGGTAGAACAGGAGGGTCAGCTCCGAACATGCATGGTCCCCTTGGCAGGGAAGCTTGAGAGCTCTGTGAGATAATTACCCTTGGGAACAGTTCTGCCAGGCCCTGCCTGGAGTCTAAGCTCTCTAAGCCTCAACGCTGACGTGTACCTGCTGACAAGACCTCCAGCCTGCCTACCAGGCTCCCCACTGTGGCCTAGTCAAGCTTCTAGAGCCTAGAGCCAAAGCTGTCTTTAGGGCAGGCACAAGCAGAATAGGCACCATTACCTTTCCCATTGCCCAGGACCCTGCCCCAGCAGACCAGCTGTGTAGTCTCCACTGGACTGGAGGCTCAGATTTGCCTCGCCCTCGCAAGGGCACAGGGTTGACCAGATGTATAGTCAGTCAGCCTGGCTCAGTCGGCTCATTTGCAGTCATCCTAGCTCCTGGGTTATCCAGGACTGGGCAGTCAGCACATGGGAGAGTCCTGGCCACTTTGTACCATGGGGTCCAGCTTCTAGGGATAAGTTCTGTGAGTTGAACAGTAGCCACTGTAGTGCAAGCCTGTAATCCCAGCACTCTAGGAGGCTGAGGCAGGTGGATCACTGTGAGTTCAAGGCCAGCCTGGTTTACAAAGTTAGTTCAGGATAGCCAAGGCTACACATAGAAACCCTGTCTCGACGAATAGCAAACAAGCAGAAACAGTAGCCACTTAATTACCTACAGCCTAGATAAGCAGGCAGAGGCCTACTGTCACTTGGGGAGATATGTTTCTAACTAGAATTCCCCCAAGGAGCAGCTCTACCCCAGCACTCCTGATGTGTCACATGCAGAGGGTCAGGACGCCTCCCTCATTACTCAGGATAGGCTGGGATTTGTCAAGCCACATACCATCGTTAATCACGTACCTCTATTAATCATGAGCCCAAACTAAGCCTCAGTTTCCTCACCCGTAAAATGGGGCAGCTATGCCTTCCTGGCTGTGTCACTGACAGCCAGTGGGACAAAGCATAAAAACTCTTGCAAATTAATACCTGTTCCCTCGGGAAAGTCCCTCCCAGGCAGTAGGGCCCCACTCACTACAGCGGTGGGGGAGGAGGCGGGAGGGGCAAAGCACACCAGAGGTGTTAGAACCCTTGGAGCTAGAGAACTGAGGGACACAGACTGCACCTGCCTAGGGACAGGAGCAGAAGGGCTTCCAGCGTTCCCACTAACAAGGTCTAGCCCTGGGTCAGGAGGCCGAGGCCTCCACCTGTGAAGCCTCTCTCATCCCTCAAACCCGTCCTGCTGGATGTGTCAGGATTTAATTAGTGTTTACCAGACCAAGGGCCCTTATGACCCAGGCCCTTCAGAGCTGAGGCCCTCTCACATTCCCGTGTGGTGTTGGCAGGCCCTGGGCTGTGGTTAGCGTAGTTACAGGGTATGTGGTCAGCCGGACCTCCAGTCACATGGCCAAGCTCCACACATGTCACAGCTATCTCCTAAGGGCAGAAGTGGACAGACACTTTATTCGGAAGAGCCCTTTTTAAGAAAAAGTAGGCTCGGGAAATGACTCAATGGGTAAAGCATTTGTCAAATAAGCAAAAGGACCCGAGTTCAAGTCCCCAGGATCTACATAAAGGCAGATGCAGTCGGGAGTATCCATAATCCTAGAACTAGTACAGGAAGATGGGTGGTAAAGACAGGAGAGTCCTGGGGCGCATGGGCCAGCTAACCTGGTATATACAGCAGGAAAAAGGTGACAAGAGGCTCTGTCTCAAACAAGGTGGAAGGTGAGGATTCACAACCTATGTTGTCCTCTGACCACACATGTCACAACGCGCACATGCCTGCATTCACACGCACACATGGACATACACACAGACTTTTAAAAGAAGGAAAAAGAACACAAGAATGTGGTTCTTGCTAGTTGTACAAGTGGATTTATCTATAACCCCACGGGTGGGGAAATGACTGTGAAAGCGGGGCACTCAAATAGGTCCAGTCCTCCCGATATTTCCCCATTAGGCCAAAGTTCTAGAGTGTTCCACTTGGGTTATTAGGTCGGGGAAGGAGTGTACAACAGGTGGGGATGGAGATACTTTGAACCCATCAAAGGCCTTGTTTCCACCGAGGGTGCATGTGATCGCCCTACTCTTGAACCCATCAAAGGCCCTGTTTCCACCAAGGGTGCGTGTGACCGCCCTACCCTCACAAGGGTCCTCTCTTGCTCTTCTCCTGCCTGCTTTAGACTAGCCTCTGAACTACTCCCTATTTGCCCTCAGAGCAGTCCTCAGCACGCTTCTCCTCTCTGAAGCTTACCAGCCCCAACAGACCCTTGTCAAAAGTCAACACACACAACCCAGGGAGCTGCCTTTCCCCTGCCCTTCAGGCACCGCTGCCCAGGGGACCCTGCCCTCTTTACGACACTGTCTCTGGCTGAGGAGTCCTTTGATGTCACACTGCTGCCCTTTGCCCAGACCTCCCCCCCCCCCACTCCCCGCAATGCCTGGCCAGGAAAAGCAGAGGGACCGGGAGAGGCCAAACTGCCCAGAGATGGACTTATTTTCCTGACCCTTTGGCTCTGGCCCTGGTCCAGTCTCTCTGATCATTCAGCTCCGACTGTGTCCTGCTCCCTGTTCTCTGAAGCCACCCTGAGTGTCCTGACAGGCCCTCTGTATTCCTCCTCTAGACTCCTGAGACTACTGGATTCTTTTTTGCCAGAGTCTGCTAACTGCGATGGTTCTGGTCTGTGTCACTGGGCAGCTTTCCTTGCCTGCGTGAGGCTGAGGCTGACTCAGGAGTGTGGGGTCTGCCCTCTGTTTCCACATCTTGGAAGATTCTCCAGGGGAGCAACTCTTGAACACAGGCACCCAGGCCAACCGACCCTGAGCCAGCAGGTCAAGGGGAGCCTTCCTTTGGGCAGGGAGAATCTGGCTCTGACAGGCTTCTAGTTCTCCGAGGAGAATTTGTTCAGCAGCCCCATTTTGGCAAAGGACCTGTTGGCTGAATCATCAAGTTGAGGAAGGCTTGATTTTCAAATACCAATTGCCGACTTAGCAAACACCAGTGCTCTTTCTAAAATGTTTACTTTGCGTGGCTAAATACATAGGCTGTCTCATGTCTGACTGTCACAGACATCCAAAGAATGGCGGCCCATCTTGCCTCTGCTTCCTCACACTTCAGCTGAAGGGTCAGAGCTTGGAGTGGATACTGGACCCGCAAGTGCCGCACGTGCTGAGCCCTCCCAGCCCTAGTGGAGCCTTGCTCACCTCATCTCTTACAGACCTGGCTTGTGGGTCACCAAAGGAAGCTATACCCGGCCTGTCCTGTCACCCTACACATTTCAGTCAGACTCCTGGTGGAAGCCGGAAAGCACATTTAGGTGTATGCTCAAGGAACAGGACCATTCACAGGGGCAATAACAGAGGGTAGGACACGAATCATCTCAGAGAGGCATGAGACCCCTGTCTCCTGGAGCTGCAGCTGTGGAGGTCAAGAGGAGGAGCTGCAGCCTTCATCAGAGAAGCACAGCCACTTCCAAACCATGCACCTGGAGGCAGCTGGGAGAGCAGATACCTCCCCTCCCCCTCCCCAACTTCCAACCAGCACCTTCCCTCTAAATGATGGGAGGAACCAGCAGGGCAGGGCGGACCAGCAGGGCAGGGCAGGGACGTCAGAACAAATGAAGGTCCATGAAGGTGAGGCATGAAGGACAAGGAAGTCCAGGTGTGTGGACACCAAAGGTCAGTAGGGGCTCCACTTGTGAAAGAAGCCTGGAGGGAGAATCTTCATGAACCTGACTAAATTTTGAGAGACAGAGGGATTTTGGTAATACTTCAGGAAAAGAAGGTTCCCCCTACCACACCTCCTCCAACACTGCTGTAAGGGCTGTTCCACTCCATAGCAGAGTGTCTGGTCCCTGGCAGCTTCCCATACAACAAACAGGCAAGGAGTCCTGCCTGTCGGAGCATCTTAGAGTGCTCCCTCTAAGTCCTTATGCTCCTCCTCAGCCTCTCAAACAGTCCCAGCTTCCCTAGCCACAGCACAGTGAGCACATCCGGGAAGCTGACAACACTCTGCAGGATTAATTTCACAAAAGAAGTGTATCAATTTAACTAACCGATTTAAAGTTATTTGATTAAATATCCATCAGTTGTTTGTATTTGTATTTCTTTGTTTAGCTTTGCTCCTGGTTTTGTTTTTGTTGCTTTTGGCTTTCAATTCACTACCTACCTAAGGATGCCCTTGAACTCCTGATCCTATTGCCAGTTTCCCTGAAGTAAAAATTTTTAATGAATTTAAATTAATTAACTGAATTAAATTGAACATACTAGCCAGTCATGGTGACTCACAATTGCAATCTCCTCATTCAAGAAAGTGAAGCAGGAGGATTACTGGGAGTTTGAGGCTAACCTTGGCTACAGTGTGAGATCATATCTCAGAACAAAACTAAACAAAAATATTAGATAAACTAGGGTCTGGAGAGATGGCTGCTCTTCCAGAGGTTCGGAGTTCAACTCCCAGCAACCACGTGGTGGCTCCCAACCATCTGTAATGAGATCTGGTGCCCTCTTCTGGCATTCGGGCAATATGTAGGCAAAACATTGTCTACATAATAAATAAGTAAATCTTTAAAAAAAAAAAAAAAAAAAAGGAGCACTTTCTGCTCTTCGCGGAGGAACTGGGTTCCACTCCCAGCACCCACACGGAGGCTCACAACTGCTGATGACTGCCGTGGCAGGGGCTCCAAGGCCCTCTTCTGCCCTCTGTGGGCTCAGGCACACGTGTGGTGCACAAACACACCCTCAG